ATACCGAAAGTTAGCACTGGCATCCTTTTAAACTCTGAAGAATAAAAACACAGAACCAAAAAAATAATTACGCAGTACACAAAATTATGTACTCGTCATCATAAACTTTCATCAACATATAATTTTAAGGCAAAATTTACAGCCTTACTGAAGAAAATATATCGTGTTATGTTTTGAAAAATCCGACCAAATTTTATTCGAACATGGGGCGAGTACTATGAGGGTGTTTTGCCGCCAGGAACTTAGTGCAACAAAAGTCTAGTTTTAGAAATATAACATAAGGGACAAAAGTTTGGCTTACTTCGTACTTGAACCCGCAAACCCAGTAGGCTATACTACAAATTTAATACAACATCAGGGTCCCAAATTGAGTTTGGGGGCCAGCTTCGCAACAATGTTTCATTTTTGAGTCAATAATTTATGTACTTGTAATAACGTTATTCCTGACAATAAATTAAGTGAATTTTTGTTATTACAATAAATATTACGCTTACATAATTGTGTCTTTTTACAATATAATATTATAACATGATTAATAGTTAGTTTATTAGTTGGTAGTACACGACACAGGTGCCTTATAATTTTCCGAAATAAGGGATTCCCCGCATCAGCAAACGTTGCCTCGAAACTCTCCGCCGATACTCTGATGCGTTCGGCGAAGAATGTAGTCCCCAAATCCTCGTGAAATTCTCTTACTAACGAGCCAATGAGCGTTTCTCGACGGACAGCACGCTTCTTCTGTTAATGTGGGGGCAATCACGCCCAATCACTGAGCTTATTTTTTTTTCTACAGACCAGGTAAGTTGAGAAATAATTCTCACCCCAAATTACTGTTCTATTTTGACCCAAAAAAGGAACGCCAGTTACCTCACTTCGGCAAGTTTCGTTTCAAACTATAAAAGTAATGTAGTCGTAATGCTTCGATAAGTTATCCAACGTCACAAAACGCGTAGAGAATTTTGACACTCACTCTAGAAGTCACGGGATCGTTTCCTGGCAAAATAGGATGTTTTTATTAAACGCAGCTCACATGTTATCTTTCATAATATAAAGAATTACTTTACCAAAATTTTGTATTTTCCTTAAATCTATAACCACAACTTATCGTATAAGCCCTATTGCAAGTGACGCTAATGTTGATCACAACTTGTTCCTCTGGGATACATTGTAATATTATACGCACATCTGCGTATAATTCTGCAAAGTGGTCTTGTATCTCGGTGGCTTTCTAACACAAATTCTATGTAAATTTATTGTCAAATAATCCAGTCTCTTCTTCTATATGCCAAGACAAGTGTTGCTGGGATCTTATGAATGTAAAGTCTCGTAACCAAATGTTTTTGTACTAATGAAGGGTTGAATACCCAACAGTATACTGAAGTTACTAATAAACATTTTTATATTTTAATGACAACATTAGACGGAAGGAACAAATAACAAATATCTTAGTCATTTAATTTTAATTTAATTAATTTAATTTGGGTGCAAATACTCTGCTGAGCATCTTGTCCTCTGACACTTCCAATAAGTGTTCTACTGTGCATTCCCGTGTAAAGGAACACGAAAACAGGGTGGATCTTCCGTCCTGCTGATCTCGTCATGTAAAGATGCGATAAATTGTGTTGTGACTGCCAGCGCGTAAAGCATTTGTTTCCACTGCTTATGGTAATTTCAGTGTGTGAAAACAAAATCAGACTCACATTTAAAAGGAATTTTGTGTTAGCCTTCGACTACAGAACCAACCCTGCACATATTTTGAATTTAAACTTGGAAATGCACTAAGAGATATGTAAAGACATTGCTCGCCAGCAGTCTCCAATAGCGTAACGTTCGTACTAAATTTCATAAAAATCTTTCTGGCGACTCCGGTGTTGAATCATGCAGACAGACATGGACAGCCCTAAATGCGTCCATTTCTTACACGCCGTACAAATTACGCATAACAACAACATAATGTCGGCTGTCGGAACATTCTCATTTATCTTACAGTTTGACAGCGATAACTGATAAATCATAGGGGGCGAGGAATACGACATTTGTATTAATACAGCGCGTAATCTATTTCACACGCTGCATGGCGGAGAAACAGTGAGTAATTTTGAACTTGGGCGCGAAAAATTAATGTTGTCAGAGTCCGTGAGTAAGCAAGATGTACTTTCAAGAATAATATCATGGTACTGCATAAACGTCATTATTACAATGAAATTCATAGTATAAACAGTGTCTCCAGCACAATTTGATATTATCACTTCTGCTCTCAAGAGCAGCTCAATAACACATGAAAATTTCATTGACGGATTACCAACATGCGCCTGTATTAAGTAAGTACAACACAAAATGTCAGTTGAACAGAAGGTACCACTCTCAACAGCTATGCGTATACGGTAGTACAATATTAAAATGGATCGAAAGTAAATAGTTTTGGAGGGTGTGGACCTCATTCCTATGGCTCAAGACAGGGACAATAGTCCTCCTGAAGAAGGATTCTGCTCCATGCAGATACTTGGTATTGGCCTTAATAATGTTTAACAGAAAACAGAATTATTTTCAGACAAAATTAAAAATTTGTTCACAAGTTAATCTAGCGAAAATTGATATTAAGAGTATAATTTTTCTAGAAACTGCAGTCAGGATAATAGTCATTCTTAATCACAAGGTATTATTTATCTGTTAGTCTTATCAATTATTTGTTGCACCTAAAATATTTTAGAGGCTACGACCATCTTTAGAGAGAAACTTGGGTAACTTTCAGGTTCCATAACACGAGAAACTGTTGACGGGTTGAGCGACTGCTGGCTTCTGAAGTTAGTGTCCAGTTAGACTGAATATAAGAAATTTTTATAGATTTGATGCGTCATGTTTGTGTTTAAAATTCACATATATATTTATTATTCAAGTCTTATACACAAACGTTTAAATTATTGATGTTAAAATTTAAAATTTAAAATTGATATTCTGCGCCATTCATCGTTATCTCGATGTTACAATGTTGCGCTTTAATACTTCTACATGTTTCGATGTCATAGCATCATCTTCAGGTTTTTATATTTAAAACTATTCTATATTTATTAATGCAAGCTTTTCGTTGATTGTAGATTGTAGATTACTATTGTAAGAAATGTCAACAGTAAGATTGTGTATAAGAAGCAGGTTTGTACAGACTTTTAAGTAGACTTAAAAATCCTAAAAAGGCAACATTTTTTCGTCGTTCCCAGCAGTTATACTACCCGAATCACAGACCTGTACGGTTTCGAAAGGGTAAAATAAGGATCACAAAATTTCTGATGTGAATATAACGTCCAAGGATTCCCAGAATGAGAAGCGCTAATTGAGATGTGTTTGCGAGCGTATGTATTAAGCGGTAATTCAGCGACTGAGCTATACAAAGTATAGAAATTTTGTTTGAAGTTCCGCATTCAAAATGTTCTACTGTCGAATAAAAGAGCAACGTCAGTGAATGTGTGTCCCTTGTAGAATGGAATTCTAAGCGACGTCGCACACAAACAGCACGACTACATTTTGTTTGTTAGGAACCGCGATTAATTTCCAAGTTCTTGTTACGAATTCCATTATAAGTCAGATAACAGATAACATGTCACCCTACAGTTAATAAAAATCACTTTACTGGTCCCGTATCGAGTTTTAATTCGGGAGCGCCCGTACTCCTGCAAAGCGTAGTTAATTTAAAAATAAAGCCACAATTGGGACTGTATATCTACATACTTCGAAAAGTAAATATCGGCTCTGCTCATCTGTAAGCAAACGATCGCAATGTACACGTGGTGGCTTTGTGTAAATTCTAGCAAAGCGATCTCGAATCTCTGCACGATATACGTTATTTTTGCGCTGATACAGGAAAGAGGGTTGTAACAATCGGTGAAAATGAGACAGTGCATCGTAAAATTAAGCTCGTTAATAAATACACTAAATAACATTACTTTTCAGTAGCAAAATTAATACTGAATGTTCTTCATACACGTCAAAAATTGATAGATCTTCTGAGAAGTGGTTTAGGCTGCTGATTAATAACCACTTGTT